TCAGGAAAATAACAATAGCGTACATAAAAGGATTATCAGAAAAACTTAAAAAGATAGGAAATAAATTCAACATTTCAACAAACTTCAATACAACAAACACGTTGAGATCTATTTTGTCCAAAACCAAACCTAACAATGAACAAGAAAGGACAAAGAATTGCATTTATAAAACACCTTGTGAATGCGATCAGTTTTATTTAGGTGAAACATCAAGGCCATTAAATGTTAGAATAAGTGAACATCAAGCTTATATTAAAAATAGAGAATTTGATAGATCTCAAATATGTAAATACGCATTCAAATGTAGTCCTAAAAGAAACAGATGGTAAAAAAAGAAAAATCAAAGAAGCAGCTCTAATTATGCTAAACGAGACGAATTGTGTCGCAAATTTCTCGGCAGAATGTAGTAGGATATGGTTACCCATATTGAAAGAGAAAGTTATTAAAAAGAAAATACCAGTATTAGTAAGTCGGTAACATATAGAGAATACATCATTTATGTTTTTTAAATAACAAACATATAAAATCAGAATTTGGTGTTTACCGAAGGTAAACTAAATGCACGAAGTGGAAATTGAAACGTCAATAAACGTACTTTAACCTTTAATTGTGGCTTATTCCCATACTAAAATAAATTACATAAAATTAAATAAAATTCGATAAAATCAAATATAATTAAATAAAATTACTAAAATTATAATTGTTAAATATTTTGTGAAAACTGAATTTTTTTTACATGTAGACGATGCTACTAAAAAAAGATTTTAGAAAATCCTTGGTCTCCGGATTTTAAATTCAAATTTCCATCTTCCGGTCCCAGAAACTTAAAATTTCAAATGCGTTGGTTAACTGACTGGAATTGGCTGGTATATTCCCCAGCAATGAATGCTGAGTTCTGCAAGTTTTGTTTTTATTTTCCACTGTTGTAGGAGAGCAAGGATCGAGCGCAGGAAAACTAGTTAAAATTCCATTTAGAAAATGGAAGAATGCAAGGGAGGATTTTAAAAAACATTCCGAAAATATCTATCATAAAAAGTGTTTAAAGAAAGCGGCTAATTTTTTAGCAACATATTCTGGGGAAAAGCACAATATTCAATTAATGCTTAATAAAGGAAGAAAATCTCAAATAGAAAAAAAAATAGAGAATCCCTTAAACCCATTATTAAGACGGCTATTTTTCTTGCTAAAATGGGGCAATCTTTTAGAGGTCATCGCGATTTTGGTCCTTTCGATTTTAACGCCCCACTACAAAGAGGAGAAGGAAACTTCAGGTTCCTTTTAAAATTTAGAATGGATTCTGGAGATGATATTTTGACCAGTCATTTAAAAACTGCCGGACAAAATGCAACTTACATCAGTTGGCGAATTCAAAATGAAATAATTTCTATATTTAACACCATCGTTTTAGAAAATTTGGTAAAACGAGTAAATGAAGTAAAATTTTTTAGTATTCTGTGTGATGAAACCACCGATATTAGTGGTACAATTCAGCTATAATTTTGCGCTAGATTTATAGAAACTAATAAAATTCATAAAGAATTTTTACAATTTATTCCGGTAACTGAAACCACCGGAACTGGACTAGCTTATACTATTTGCTCGTTTATACAAGATTTAGGTTTGAATGGTAACAATATAGTTGGGCAAGGATATGATGGAGCCAGTTCCATGAGTGGTCATATAAAAGGCGTACAATCTGTTGTTCGAAAAGAATTTCCCAAAGCTATCTATGTGCATTGTTGTTTACATAGTTTTAATCTTGAGATTTCTCAAGGATGTTCTGTACCAGAAATTCGAGATTGTATGGGAACCGTAGAAGCCACTTATAATTTTTTCAACTATCCTAAGCGGCAAAATGTTTTAGAAAATCAAATTGATCAGTTAGAGCAGAAGCCGAAAGTGGAAAAATTAAAAAGATTGTGTGCAACAAGATGGATTCAAAGACATGACTCAGTCCATGCATTTATTTCCTTACTTCCTGTCATTATTAAAGCACTAGATGTAATTAAAACCTGGAGTGATAACAAAACTGCAACTGATGCTCAGTTGATGTCGGCTGCAATTTGCAAATGTGACTTTCTTTTTGAGTCTTTTCGTGGTTAACTCAGTGTTTGAACTTACTTTACCGCTTAGTAAGTACCTTCAAACAGAAAATCTAGACCTCCATTTAGCTGTTGAATCTGCAGACAAAACGAAAGAATCACTAGAACAGTTAAGACAAAACGCAGATGAAACTTTTACCAATATTTTTGGGCAAGTATCAGCTCTTTGCGATGAATTTGGTGTTAATATGTCTCTTCCAAGGACAGTAATTTATCAAACAAAGAGAAATAATGTACCAGCTTCCACGCCAGAAGATCTGTTTTTATCCCCTTTTTTGATGAAATTATACAATCCATAAATGATAGATTTATTGCACACAAAGAGATTTTAAAACCATTTCAGGACTTACTAAGTGTACAGTATGATGAGACGATAGGGAAATCATTTCAAAATCTAGTAGATTTTTATGGACTTGATGACACGAACATAAAAGTAGAAATCATACTTTGGAAACAATTTCTAAAAGATTTGCAACTTAAACCGACACCAAAAAATGCTCTTAAAGCTCTTGATAGATGTAATAAGAACTTATTCCCTCTAGTTTAAAATTTACTCCTAATAATGGCGACTTTACCTGTAACAACCTGCACATATGAAAGGTCATTTTCATCGCTAAAAATACTAAACACGTATTTAAGAAATTGTACTAGCGAAGAGAGACTAAATGGTTTAGCTTTGATGTTTATCCATCAGGATATTCAAATAGATGAAGAGGTATTAAATCATTTGGTTCAAAAGCAACGCCGTTTGGACATTTTATTATAAATTTAATTTGTTTACAGTTTATTAACATTTAATAAGTTTAGGATTTAAATTGATATTTCTGATTATATAATGTATTTAGATATAGATACCTGAATCTTTGGCACTACTATCTTTAGCATAGATACATTAGTAACTAAAAACAAAATTTTAAGAAATCAACACAAAAAAAATTTTCATTGCCCAACCAAACCCCCCCCCCCCCCACAGGCAAATTCTGGGTGCGCCACTGGTTATTCCCAATCGATGATGATCAACGGAAGAGAAATGAAGCTTCCTCAAGATCTTATTTTTATTTGATTGCCTTCCCTGCGAAGAACGTTGATCCCTGATGTGCAGGGCGTATTTTTCCTCTAATTGTTCTATTTTTCCACAGTTTTCTATTAGCTATTTTTCTTTGATGTCTTTTTTCTTCTGTGTTTGTCGACCGTGTATTGTAACTTTTAAAACTATAGCGTCGCGTTTATTTTTCATCATAACTAGAATTTGGTTTGTTCATTTATAATTTCTCCTTTCTCTTTTGTGGTTATAGATATTGCTCTAATGCAGTCACAATGACTTCATTTTCTTCTTACGGTGCCTATCCGTTCCGGATGTTGGCGATCAACATGGCTATCCTAACTTTGCTTGCTGCTATTCTGAATAGTCCGGTTGTCGATGTATTAAACCACTTTCTCAGGTTTTAAAACCAAGATATTATTCTTCTCCATGGTCCTCTTTTTCCAAATACCTTGCCCTGAAGAATGAGTTGCAACAAGCCGTATCTCTGTTCATTTCTCATAACATGGCCAAGATATTCTAGTTTGCACTTTTTGATGGTGTTAATAATCTCGCATTCCTTGCCTATTCTACGTAGGACCTCAACATTATTCACACGATCCACCCATGAAATTATTAAAATATGTCTAACACCACATCTCGAATGCCTCGAGTTTTCTTAAAGAAGCTTCGGAAAGTGTCCTCTACTCCGTATAATAACGTAGAAAATACATAGCATCTAATGAGCGAGATTTTGGTAGCAAGTGGTAAATCGTGACTTCTGAAAAGAGACTTCATCATTATAAACGCTGATCTCGCTTTTCCTATGCGTTGTTTTATTTCACTGGAGTGATCCCATTGGCTGTTAATGTTGGTACCAAGGTATGTGTAGCTTTCCACTCTGTCAATTTAATGTTGCTTAACCAAAAGCTGTGTATTTAATATTTCGCGCTTACTGATTACCACGTACTTTGTTTTCTTCGTATTAAGATCAAGTACATGTTCTCTACTTATATCTGATATACGCGACATTATTCTTTGCAAACCATCCAGACTATCTGCAAAAACTACTGTGTCGTCGGCATATCTAATGTTGTTTAGACGCATTCCGTTGACTAATACGCCTTCTTGTAGTTCTCCTGGCGCTTGCTCTAAGATATATTCAGAGTATATATTAAAGAACACCGGGGACAAAATGCATCCTTGCCTCACTTCCCTATCTATGGAGACTGCCTCTGTCAATTGGTCATTCACTTTAATATTGGCTGTTTGGTTGTAATATAAATTATAGATGATTCTCAAGTCCCTATCATCTAACCCCACTTCTTTCAAGGTGTTTATAAGTTTATCATGCTTTACTCTTTTTGTCAAATGCCTTTTTGTAGTCGATAAAACAAGTATACACATCACAGTTATCATCTCTGCATCTTTGCATAAGCACTTGGACAGCGAATAGAGCTTCTCGGGTGCCTAAGAAATCGCGGAATCCAAACTGCGTCCATGATACTTTTCTATATATTCTTCCAATGGTGCCATCTACGGACTAGATCTAAATCTTTCTTTCCTACGTTAGTATTTGTTGTTCACGATACCGACTATTTTATAGGGTTTATTTTGTTAAGTTGGTTTTCTTTTCATTTTTTATAATCGTTAAAAGGTTTTCTATTAGTTACTTTCCTTCATACTTCCACGATTTCCTAATTCTATAAATAACCGAAATGTTTGTTGTTACCTACTGTTAACATATTAGCAGATAAGCCATAAACATCCTTCTGCCAAACATTCTAGTTCATTCAATGCGCGTCTTTATACTCAACCAATTTGCCAACCGTACAATATACAATACAATATAAATTATTACATAAAATAATACTTACAGACATCACATTTCAGTCCTTCGGCTTCTGGAATTCTATTTAATTTTATGAGGGGAGTATTTCCAATTGCTTCTAGTGCGTTGGGCAGAATTTTGGTCGTGCGTTTCCTGAATCATAAAAGAAAAATCAGAACATTCTGATGACTCATAAGACGATGATGATGATGATGATAAGTAATACCCAATTAGACAAGGATTTGACACCAAAAAACGCTGTTCGGGCTAAATATTCTTGCACACACCTTAAAATGAATTAAAACGTGTATTCTTGTTTCATAGATTTCGAAAAGCCTTTTTTTAATAAAGTGATAAAACATCAAGAGCTAATACCGTAGTGTTGAGAAATAAGAACTACCTCACATTTACACTAGAATTAGACAGCGAGGGTTAAGATTGAAAATAAACTTATAGTCGGTTCACAATTTGTCGATAGCTTACCCTGAAGTTTAACCCTAATTAGAGAACTGAAATACAGAGAGGATAAGTAATACGATATAATAGTAAAAACCAACCTGAAACTGACGGTTTAAGATGTTTTCGCCTAACCTACCTTTTATCTGAAGGAATACAATACAGCAATCAACCTTATAATCCGATTACGAAGGTATTTTGGTTACAGATGACCGACCAGTGTTGTAGAGTATATGATTGAAACACTTACTAGAACTAAATAAATATATTTTTTAAATTGTATTTTTGTTTTAATAAAACTTCTTTATTTTATTCAAAAATAAAAAGTTTTTTCCCATTTGTAAAAGATACATTTATTTAAGGGGAAAGGCGCCAAATGTTGCCTGGCAAAAATTTTCAATGTGTTTTGAATGTATCCATTATTTTCGAATCCGGAGAAAACTAATAAATATTTTTGAAAAATTTAAAAGCAGTATGAAAGATTACATTATTACTGAGGGCATAAAGTCCCTGAAAACTTCTACAATGTTTATTTTAATATGTTATACAACAGGGGTGAAAATAAAAGAAAAAATATAGTATAATGTTTAATTGAAAATATTGCATGCAAAAGAAACTTTTTATTTATTTTAATAAATATTTCATTCTGCCCTTAAATGTTTCAAAAATGCTTTTTAGTTTTCTCAAGATTTGAAAAAAAAATGGATACATTTAAAACACATTGAACATTTTGACACGCGACATTTTGCGCCTTTACCCTTTAATACCTTACAACTACTATTACTTACATTATATAATTACGATTAGTAAACTATTCAAATTAAAAATAAATAGGATCAACTTCGGAATACAACTTCCGAGTCGTCTTGAGGGTTAACAATTAGCGGTTGTGTCTCTACGGTCGCATCAATTATGTTATCAAGATCCCACATTTTTGGTTCTTCTTCTATTACATGTCTTACTGCATCTTTCCAGTTTTGTTCTGTAATATGTTGTAAAGACTCGTATAACAATTCACGTACAGCTTGTATTTTATATGACTTATTTTTTCTAGCCACATAACTTTTCATTTGTGCCCAAATGAGTTCAATTGGATTTATTTCGCAGTGGTAGGGTGCAAGTCTAAGGACTGTGATGTTTCGCGTTTCCGCCATTTTGTCAACTACGTATTTCTTGAACTTAGATTTGTGTTGCCGGGTAATTTTTAAAAGTTCTGCTTTTACCATTCCATCTTCGTAAGGCAGATACTTATTCCGCAGCCAGTCAAGAATATCCTGTTTCTTCCACGCAGTCGTTGGAAGTCTTTCTACTAGTCGTGAATGATAAGGTGCATTATCTAATACTATAATTGAATTTGGTGGTATGTGTTCAATCATCTGCTCAAAATACTCTTCGAAAACATCAGCTGTCGTCTCCTCGTGATAGTCTTTTGTGCTTTTTGACTGAAATTCCAACAAACCATGCTTAACAAATCCTTTTTCACTGCCAATGTGAGAAATTATTAATCTACTGCCTTTACCAGAAGATGGGGAGATACCAATAGACCAACCTTCTACCGGAAATTTGATTCTTTTAAAACTTGCCACAATTTAGTTCGTCCGATATGAGGCAAATCCGGGTCGTCTCTAACTTCTTGTAAAATTTTGCTTAAGTTTGGTATTTCTTTTCTGAAAAAAAAATCCATGAATTTTCCTTCGAATACCATTTTTGGCAAATTCATCAATTTCAATAGGCTTTTTCCCTCTCTTTAAGTGTTCGTTTGTGTTTGGGTTAGCTATACCGTGTTTTTTTCTTTCTGATAGGAACCTATATATAGTTGACTCCCCTACGCCAGTCATGTTGGCACAACTTTCGACTATGTTGCGAACAGTGTTTGTGGGATTCTGAGAAACCAGAGCATCGTGAACATTCATGACAATAGTCTTCTCTCTTGGTGAATAGACAGACTTACTGACTGTACGCAACAGTACCGGTGTAAATCTTGATGATGTTGATGATGAAGCCATCACAAACAATCCAACAAAACGAGCACGAGCAAAAGATACGTATATGTTCGTAGGTATATGGAATAAAAAATCACTCACGCACTGCATATAATTCGTAAAAGAAATATTCGAGACGCTAATTACTGCCGTAGACGCGGAAACACCGACGAGCCGTAAATTGCATGCGATCAAAAACGTACTGAACAAAAAAATTGTTTTCGTTCGTAATAACTTCACCCTTTCAAGTTAATTACTATTTAACTGGGAATATGCCACAATTAAAGATAAAAATATGTTTATTGACGTTTCAATTTCCACTTCGGAAATCGTTCTCAAAATACAAACAGTAAATTAAACAAATTTTGTTTTTTGTTACATAGTGAAAAATTCTTCTAATAATTTAATTTTATCTGACTCATTTATATTGACAATTCAGACATACATTATGCATTTTAAAGTAGACGACTTTAAAATGATATTGCCAATATTGTTGAGTTGCGCTCCTGGGACGACTTTACTTATAAGATAGTTCATTCGATTACATGAAATCAACTTTAACTTGAGAATATCCGTCAGAAAAAATCATAGCATATAATTCGTCTTTAAAAAGACAAACACATGACATGATGACAGTAAAATTCTCCTGTTAGTGATTCCATAGTAAATTATGAGGGAAAAACCAGGAAAAAAACCTCATAATACTATCCCGACATGGTAAGTATTTGTTCGTGTATTTAGTTTACCTTCAATAAACACCAAAATTCTGATTTTATATGTTTCGTTATTTAAAAAACATAAATGATGTATCCTCTATATGTTACTGACTTTTCTGTACTGGTATTTTCTTATTAATAACTTCCTCTTTCAATATTGGTAACCAGATCCTACTACATTCTGCAGAGGAATTTGCGACACAATCGGCCTCATTTAGCAGGAGATTCAGGTGTATAGAAAATCAACACACACCAATAGATATTTAAATTTCAAATCAAATCACAATATTATGTAAAAGAGGGAATAATTAAATCCTTATACGATAGAGCCAAAATTACTTGTTCTAACGAAAATTCGTTGTTGGAGGAGAAACATTTGTTAACATCTGTTTTATTAAAAAATGATTATCCTTTATCGTTTATAAATAAGGAATTTTCAACAATCGATCGAATAGAACAGAACATTTTAGAACGAGATCCTACAGCATACACAAGGAATAATACGAGGAAAATAACAATACCGTAAAAAAAGGATGGACAATAAATTCAACATTTCAACAACATTCAAAACAACAAACACGTTGAGATCTATTTTGTCCAAAACCAAACCTAACACTGAACAAGAAAGGACAAAAAATTGCATTTATAAAATACCTTGTGAATGCAATCAGTTTTATTTAGGTGAAACATCAAGGCCATTAAATGTTAGAATAAGTGAACATCAGTCTTATATTAAAAATAGAGAATTTGATAGATTTCAAATATGTAAACAGGCATGGGATAATGAACATAGGGTTCAATGGAATAATTCAAATGTAGTCCTAAAAGAGACGGATGGTAAAAAAAGAAAAATCCAAGAAGCGGCTTTAATTATGCTAAATGAGGCCAATTGTGTCGCAAATTCCTCGGCAGAATGTAGTAGGATCTGGTTACCAATATTGAAAGAGGAAGTTATTAATAAGAAAATAACAGTATTAGTAAGTCAGTAACATATAGAGGATATATCATTTATGTTTTTTAAATAACGAAACATATAAAATCAGAATTTTGGTGTTTATTGAAGGTAAACTAAATGCACGAACAAATACTTACCATGTCGGGATAGTATTGAGGTTTTTTTCCTGGTTTTTCCCTCATAATTTACTATGGAATCACTAACAGAAGAATTTTACTGTCATAATGTCATGTGTTTGTCTTTTTAAAGACGAATTATATGATATGATTTTTTCTGACGGATATTCTCAAGTTAAAGTCTTATTTCATGTAATCGAATGAACTATCTTATAAGTAAAGTCGTCCCAGGAGCGCAACTCAACAATATTGGCAATATCGTTTTAAAGTCATCTACTTTAAAATGCATAATGTATGTCTAAATTGTCAATATAAATGAGTCAGATAAAATTAAATTATTAGAAGAATTTTTCACTATGTAACAAAAAACAAAATTTGTTTAATTTACTGTTTGTATTTTGAGAACGATTTCCGAAGTGGAAATTGAAACGTCAATAAACGTATTTTTATCTTTAATTGTGGCATATTCCCAGTTAAATAGTAATTAATTTAAAATGCCACAAGAAAATAGCTTCAGAACTTTCAAGTTAAGTTTCGAATATAAACTGAACAAACGAGGCCCGTGGCCAAAGCCGGCATCTTTATACTCATTATATTATTAAAAATCTGAGGAATTCCATCCTAATTATCTTGCAACGAATAGTACCTTCGGATATGAATTCCAGGTTTTCTAGTATAGTGATTAAACGTGAAGATTAGTATTGAAATATCCAAAGAGATAAGGTATTCTTATTTACAAAATTGTTAATGGTTAAATTCTTATTTTTATTAATATCATATCATAACCAACATTAGCCGTGAAAGTTTTAATTGGTTTGTGCTAAATATATTAGTATTAAAACATTATTAATATTGATAATGAATAAACACCTCAGGAACGCCTATGATGATACAAATTTTACGACCGTTTTATGACTTTGAGGCAAATTTCGTGCCCTCAACAATTTGTGGACGGAGTATAAATGATATTCATAAAGTCTCAAGTATGACCCGCTTTTCCTTTATGGTCAAATTCTTTACATTTTGCTGACCTTTTATATGTTTTGTAGCAATATTTATTTTGTTTGTAATACACACAATCAAATCGTAGATTCATATATTTCTTTAATTAATTTTACAAATTACTTATTAATTTTCAAAACACGTTTTCACAGAAAGTAACTAGTTATGACTTCTTAGTGCAAGATATGGCATCGAGGTATACTTACCGTTAACAGTTTAAGTCTCGAAGTTGTTCATTACAGTAATGGAACAACGTTGCCATATGATGATGCATCGTTAAAATATGATACATACAAGTCTCCTGGCTTTGTCTCGCTATGACGTCATGCGCAAAGTCGATTAAAATTAGAATGGCAAGTGAGCATATCTTGTTGTTATAGTATCATGCTTTAATTTAAATACATCTAAGTATTAATTTTATAATTATTATTATATATTTTTATAGATAATACATATTAATTATTAAAATTTAAATATTTCTTACGAAATAATAGTAAAATTCAAGTTTGAAATATTTTAAAGAAAAAATAAATTTTTATTTTTTCGGAATTTTCCGATTTTTGAGAAAGGTGTAAGTAGCCCAGTTCTTATTATTTTCTCGAGATACACCAGTTAAAAACAAATTTTGCGTGTCATAGAAGGCGAGATATTGCAATTTTTTTAGCGGGCTTTAAATTGAAGTTTCTTTCTAAAAAATGAAGCTGGAAAAGTTATCCCCTCTAATTTAACCTAGCGATATTTTAAGAGTACGATTACTTTAACGGGTTACAACTTTTTACACCTCTGTATACGCCATCTGTAAATTGGATCATAAAATCTAGATCTTTACTTATATAATCTGTTCAATTTTCAGCTCTTTATGTTAATAATCCATGAAAATATGATTTTAAGAAAATAGTGCTATCTTGGTTCCTATTGGTTACAAAAGGTTCTTTTTTTTTAAATATTATATTTTCATTACCTTTTCAGCGAGCTTAGAAAATCATCTGTACGGATTTGTAGCTATCCCTCATTAGAACCTTCAAAAACATGTATACTTCATCTAATTTACTTACCGTTGCACGTCATCGGCGTCATAGCCCGTGACGTCACATGGTACCAACACGAAATATTTAGGCGGAAGGTGTGTTCTTTTTTAGAATCACTTTGCCGAGTACACTGGCATTACATCCACTAAACATATTTTATTACATACGCGTAGAAATTATATTTAAAGATTTCTATTAATGTTAACTTAAAAAAATACACAATAATATGTTTCATTTAATTTGTATAAATGCATTATAAAGCTTTTTAGTTGAATTCATGAATGTGTTGCTTGTGTGAGTCCATTTCAAATAGGTAAAGAAATAATAAATAAGACTTACTCACAATCAATTTAATTTAACTATCAGACGACCGGTTTCGCTTTCTACAATATGCAAAGCATCTTCAGGTCTCGATACAAAGTTAAATAAATGATACCGGCATCATTTATTTAACTTTGTATCGAGACCTGAAGATGCTTTGCATATTGTAGAAAGCGAAACCGGTCGTCTGATAGTTAAATTAAATTGATTGTGAGTAAGTCTTATTTATTATTTCTTTACCTACTTTTTAGTTGAGTTTACCGAAAGTACAAGCTGAATATAGCCGCCAATGTCACAAATATTTGGGTTTGGCAGTGTTGGCATGTTTTTATAATGCATATGTTAAATACTTCAAATATAAAAAGATAAAGCTTTTAAAAAGTACATTTTGATTATACTATTTTATGAATTCTGCAATTTCTATTATATATAAAGTTATAACGGGTAGATATTTGTCTCTTTTGAGATTAATTGTAAACATCTTTTGTAATCTGGCAACTGCTGATTTGACAAAATCTATCCCCTAATCTATCAAAGGGTAACTGCTAAAAAAATTTCGAATAATTAACTGCGATTAATCTCCAATGAAACAAATACTTACTCATTGTTGTTTTATTTAAATCAAAAATTGCAGAATTCGAAACACAATATAAACAAAATGTACTTTTCTAAAGCTTTATCTTTTTATATTTGAAGTATACAACATCTATAGGTTATTCCACGAATATACGACTGTTTTGAATTATTACGACAACGAATATTTTACTGTGCAAGTAGAAGTATGAAAGTAAATTGGTAACAGTATTCCAATAAAATGGATTTACTTTTAGTTTGACACTTACACTAAAATTATTTCAGTTAATATATGTTCAGATACACGCAAAATTTATTGTGAAATTTAATCCGAAAATAACAAAAAAATTTACGCAAACGGTCCTACAAATAAATACAATGAGTTCTATGAAGCTAAAATGTGTTCATAAGACATTTGGGTTGGGTTTCCGTGAAATGTAAACACCAAAGAGGCGTGCCGGGTTCCTTTGATATTACACTTTTTGTTACTATATTAGGTACTACAACTGTAATAAAAAGAAATATACTTTTAATATAAATGAAAAGAAATTGGTAGAACGATGGTTTGGAAACCAGAAAAAGGATCTATAATTTCACTTTGTTAGTTTTAAATATTTGTTTGATTTGAGTGGATGTACTCTTAAAAGTTCCGAAAGTAAAGGGTATAACATACCGACTATTGATAGTTGAAGTACCGAGTCGTTACAGATATTAAAAAGTAACGAACATTTATATACAGTTTCATATATCGCCGACTGTTTTTAGTTTTAAAAACTGTCCGTATAGAGGTGTCCGATGAAGAAAGGTGCCGTTAAGAGAGAGTTTAGTGTAGTGTATTTGTTTATTGAAGCCAAAAACGCCGAGACGTGTTTTAGATGTAGACAACTTTGTATTTAATGTACTTTCCTATGGTGAAGTTCTGTGAATCTGATGGTTGATGATAGTTTTAGGAGATTAGGAGAATAAGAGAATAAGTAAGTTTTTTTTGTTTTCTTAATACTAATTGAATATTCGACTAAATAAATTACACTATTTAACCACCTAAGTATTGTTACACTTCGTTTAAATCACTTAATTCAAAAAACAACTTGTTTACAATACTAAAATCAATGATAGTAATTATATACTTCAAAATCTAAATTATAACTATTCTATAAACTATCAACTCTATATTATGTATATCATGACTTCATATTTAAATTTTAAGTCATAACAGTATTTTAAAAATAGGGAGAATTTACTATTGTACAATTCAGCACATTGGACCATTCAAATAGAGACCTTAAACCGAATTTAAAACAGTCGTATATTCGTGGAATGGAGTATACATTCTAAAAACATGCCAACACTGCTATACCGAAATTTGTTGTTCCATGTTTAACATTTCGGGCTATAATCAGCTTGTACTTTCGGTAAACTCAACCAGCTTTTTTATGAAGAACATTTGTTCGGAACACACTGTAACCTAAGCGTCTATATTCTTTGCTGTAACTGTAATCGAACGAATGTGATATTTTGGCATAAATTGGTAACACTTATTTGACAGTTGCGGTGTTGGCACTTTTTGTACTTTATTATTTTGAATTTAAAGTCAATACCTCCTGTTTTATATGTTTACCTATTTAATAAAATCTGTTCTTTTTAGAACAAAATTAGTGTTTTATTTCAAAAATTTACGTGTCACGTAAGAATTTAAATAGTCGTTGTAAAGAGATGGTAATACTTTTGCAATAATTGTGTGACCTATTTGATTTAAAATGGAGTCAGACCTATAGAACAAGTGCCGAGGAACTGACAGAAGATTAGTGACAGATCTGTATTTGGCAGTGTTGCCATCTCACAAATAAATCCTGAAAGAGCATGCGATATAATATTAATTAGTGTTTTGAAAGAAGTTTAATTAATTTAAATTTAATTTATTATAATTTAAATTAACTTTAATTTTTTAAGCTTTTAAATTCTTAAGTTATTAAAGTTAATTAAACATCTTTACCGATATGTTTTTACTTTGTTATTCACATTTTAATAATTAAATTGTCAATAATGATAATTTAATCTCTGCAACGTAAATTTGAAAAAATATCGATCTGAACAAGCTCCAGTAACTAGCTAATACATTAACAAAACGATATTCAGATACCATTTCACCCCAAAATTATAAGAAAATAGTCATAAAAATCATAAAATTGAAATCTGCTAACATCTGTTGCAATCTGGCAACTACTGTTTTCAAAAATTTGACAGTATTGCCAAGTTTTTTTACTAATCTACCAAAGGCCAATTATAATTTTTTTTTCTAATAACTAACTGCAACTAATATCAAAAGAAACAAATATTTATTCGTTCGTGTTTCATATAAATTCAAAAAATTTTAAAAAATACCCGATTTCATAAAATAATATAATAAAAATGTACTGTTTCAAAGCATATTTGAGGCATAAAACATACACATAATAAGGACATGGCAATACCGCAGACACAAATTTGACATGACGTTTATGTCAAATTCTCGGCACTTATTCTATAGATTTGCCTTTTTTATACTTTAGCCACTATGTCAACTTCGATCTCTGTCAATAATAATGACGTGCAACGGTAAGTAAATTAGATGAAGTAGATATAGGATTTTTACGTGAGATCAGTGATATTTCACTTTCACAGATAGACTGGAGTATATCCAATCTCTGGTATCTAACTGGATGCTCTGGTAGAAGTTTCGCCACAATAAGTAAAAAACTTTATAATTGTCTCGGCTCATCACTATTTATAGTATACTTACATTATATTTGTCGGAACGATTTCCGCAATATTCAATAAAATATGTACATAATTTTAGTTCCAGTGACCGCCTTATTTTCCCAGGAAAAAAATATAGAATAGTAAAATAAATTGATAATTATCTACTTACCAGTCTTGTGTTGTATGAGGCGTTGACTCTCTGCTAGCAGTTTTATGCCAAGTGCAACTTGATTTTTTACTTGGGGGGTTAAAGCTATCGTTTAACGGTGACCAAAAAGATAGGTTACTTTTCGATTTTTTAATAGTATCTTGATTATTTACGTTGTTACTCATGTTGTTGCTCTAAATGAACTATTTGGAATATTTTAATAACGACACAATAAATCTTTATTGAGAGCTGTAAAAAAAATTGAAAGTTGAAATCAATTTTTTGTTGTTACGACGGGAAATAAAGTATAGAAATTAGAAAGCAACACACAACACGTGGAACGTTATTAAAGCCGCGCTCCTTGATTCTTGATTTCCGTTCCGAATGTTGTTGTGGACTTACTTGTGCTTGTGATGGTGGTAGGGATGTGCAAGCGAGATCCCATTCGATGTCAAAAAGTAGGGGGAGTCAAGAAATAAAAGGGATGGGCGTTTACACAGATAACGTTCCTAAAGAACGATAAATCCTAATAAAAGCTTCCTCAGTGGATCATATCCATAGATAAATAATATATCAGAAATATATTATCATATCCTTATCGTTTTCCTTGTTCCCTATCATATTAATTAAATCATGTAGATCAATCTTTGTATATCTTATTTCAGATTTTAAATTTCTGTAGGCACTTAAAGTACGTACTTCAAATAATAAAAATCGACTTACCAGTGAACCTCTAAAAATTATAGGAACTAGCTGAATTTTGCTGAGAATATCAATTTTGAATCCCCAAAAAATATACAAAACCGTTTACCACTCCTATCTCTAGGCTTCTCCCTAAAACTCCCCTCGTAAGGGGGAAATGGAAAAAATCGATTTACCATGCTGAGACCAAGCTAAAGAAACTGAGACGATTCTTGTAACGAAGATATTTTGCCTACCTTAGGATAAGATTATGGGGTAGAAAATTGGGGAAAGAAATTATGGGGGTGGATATAGGGCAAGCAAAATAAATCAAAACGTATGCGAACGGCACTCAGGGCTTGTTAGGAGAGCTGAGGTCGTGGATAAGTAAATGGCAAGGAGGTTGGATTGGGGCAACTAAAAAAAATGAAACAAAGGGTCATGAATCTCTTGGGAAAAAAATAAAAAGAAACAGGAAACAACTCTAGTAATTTAAGATATGACGCCACTTCGAGGTGCCTAATTGTAACCATTACAACAGCTAGTTGTAACTAGAGAAATAATTATTAAATATGAAATACATATCTTTTTCAAACCAAACTCAAAAAGGTTAGTTAAAAAAATAAACAAAATGTTAAGAAAAAATTTAACATTTATTGTTGTGTCACCACAAACAGTTACAAAAATAAGACAATGCAAAAAAATATTACCTCAAATAGTCGCAAAATACAAAAAAAACTTACGTGTCATCTGTTTACAAATTCTGTTGCTACAAAACTTACAAAATTGCATGGAGGTTAACCTTTTTTTTTAACAAAACAAATCAATATCAAAAATACTAAAGCGAGCTGTCATAAATTAACATTAAATTTAAAACAACAATTAAAATGACAGCTAAAGTTAAAACCTAAAATTTACAATTTTTTAAAAAAACAAAAATTTAAATTGTTACGGAAGCAATTATTGTTATACAAAAATGTCTGTCTTTACTTTAAAATTTATTCACAAAAAAAGTTACCTGGGTTTCACAAAAATTACACTTGAGCTGTAAACTGTACTTCTTAAAAACTCAACAATGGCTGGGAATCTATGGCACACGAACAAAAAGGAAACTGGGTCACTGGAACACAAACCTTGGAAACTAAACTGGACTTGGCTTCTTAAAAACAGGAATAGGTACAACTGGATACAATGGCAACATTCCAAAACTCACTTAAAATTGTAACTGAACCATTAAACTGCTACTATATTTTACATATTCTTCATAAAAAAAGACGAACAACGGGGAAAATTTCAAATTTGACGTAAAATTTGGTCATAACGTTGAAGACCACCGCTCTTCACCGCTGCTCCAACGAAAGTGATGAAATTATCTTTAAAATTAATTCGCATGAGTTGAAAGAAACAATAGCACTTAGTATAAACAAAACACAAACGGGAATTAAGACGCAATTTATTAATTTGAAAACGCAGTAAAGATCAAAGGAATGTCGAAGAATTTGTGCCTGTGACATTAACAAACAATAAAATAATTTATTATGTGAAAAGAACGAAATATTATTTAGGTTTTAACTTAAAAGATACGAACTAAGAAACATGAAAAAAACGGATGTGGCTGTTCAGTGGGACTGTCGGTAGAAGTTATACTTCTATACACGCGTTTGCCGTTACAAATTTATATGGGAGTCAATCTGCACAATCATTACATATGTAATGCTGTACGTAAGAGAGAGCAGAAAGAGGAAAAGAATTAGTTATATAGGTATATGGTGCATAGTTTGCTGTATATAAACATTTGACCTGTAATAGGAGTATACTAAATGAAGGATTGTATTAATATTTTAATGAAAATATATATATTTTTATTTTCATATATGTATAAAAGGAGTTGAATGCAAAAAAAATGTTTACACATACTCTGCAATAAAATTCATTGTTTATTTTGTTATTAGTATAAAAATTACAATACAATAAATACACTGCAACATAATTCAATATAATAATACAATATAAATTAAAATGCAATGTTCATAATTATTTAAAACTGCCAATATATACCATTTTTCACAAAGTGACGTCACTTGTATTTAAAATTTCCAGAACATCAACTTTATAGTTCAAATTTTCCTAACACAGCTAATAATACGAAACCCATACGGAACTGCTCGATCTTTCATAGGCGTCAACATGGTGTAATAATTAGAAAAATATAATCATCATTATATTGGAAATTTTAGAATTATATTGATTAAATAACCAAAAACATTTATTAGATATTATTAATAATATAAATTTTATGAAATAACTCTTAGTCTAATATTCCACAAAATAATAATTTTAATTAAAATTATAGTTTATTCGTCTTCCGGGTTTGGACCGTGTCATTTGTGAGTGACCCAAAAGTGGGTTCATCTCGACGTTTCGCTACAATTATATGTAGCTTCTTCAGGAGAACAAAGAAAAGGAAAAAAGAAAACAAAAGAACAGGAAGATGGGTAGTTAGCAACGGTAACTCAGTTACTCAACGCAACCAGAGGCGAATACTAACTACCAAGATGGGCATTTGGTCACAGTAACTCAACTACTCAACGCAGCCAGAGGTGAAAACCAAATGCCAGGACAGGGATTCACGTCCAACAGCTCAGAACACTAACGCGTCGAGAGGCGGGGAGTGAATCCCGGATTCACTCCCCGCCTCTCGACGCGTTAGTGTTCTGAGCTGTTGGACGTGAATCCCTGTCCTGGCATTTGGTTTTCACCTCTGCTGCGTTGAGTAGTTGAGTTACTGTGACCAAATGCCCAATCTTGGTAGTTAGTATTCGCCTCTGGTTGCGTTGAGTAACTGAGTTACCGTTGCTAACTACCCATCTTCCTGTTCTTTTGTTTTCTTTTTTCTTTTCTTTGTTCTCCTGAAGAAGCTACATATAATTGTAGCGAAACGTCGAGATGAACCCACTTTTGGGTCACTCACAAATGACACGGTCCAAACCCGGAAGACGAATAAACTATAATTCTGACTCTGGCCGTGGAAGCCTACGATTTCAATTTTAATTAAATATATTAGACAATTGTAAGCAACTGATACGGAAATATATCAAATATTATGACAGTTCAGCGGGTGGCAAAAGTGTATAAAGTGTAAAGTGTATAAAATAACTCTTAGTCTAATATTCCACAAAATAATAATTTTAATTAAATATATTAGACAATTGTAAGCAACTGATACGGAAATATATCAAATATTATTGACAGTTCAGCGGGTGGCAAAGTTTATAAAGTGTTGCCGCTTTTTTAGAGTAGAAATTTTGTTTATGTTTTAATTTCTTACACAATTTGATCATAATATAATATATATATTAATAAATTGTATTTATAAATACATTTTAAATTTAGATTAATAGCTTTAAAAACTAATTATTGTTGTATATTGTGATGGTGATATGCCAAAACAAATAAAAAAATCTGTAGAAAGCTGATAAGCTTTCATATAAGATAGATTATTTTGCACAAGAAATAATGGCAAAACGTTTTTGTTATTAAAGCCCTAAAAGAGGTAAGTTTAAAATTTAGAATATATAATTTTGGCATTAAAATGTTTTGTTATGTATTTTAATGTGTTGCAGTAGTCTTAAAACTAAGTGTATTTACTGTTAATTATAAAAGTTTGACAAATAGTTGACATTTAAAAATTCCTCACTTACTAACTATTCTGATGTTTTGGCAACGCTGTGGGGTTCTGACGACGTAAATCTTGAATGACGTGCAAGCTTTTTTAAATGAAAAATGCTACACCTAACTAAAATAAAAAACCAAGAACTCGGATTATGTTGTAAATTTTCATTTTATTTTAAAATTTAGCATTTTTGCGTATATTACATATATTTCATAAGAGTAACGTGAGGTTTTTAAATGTTTCAAAAATAAAAAGGAAATTCATATTGGGATTCGAACTCACAAACACCAGCGTATGAACCAAACACGTAAAGGATTTGCCAATTAGACATGACACTAACGGATTTCAAAATTGACAGTTCTCGGTCAAACAGTGATTATTTTGAAATACAAAAGCTTAAAATAATTATAAACGTTTAATAAATAATACAAAACATATCACATAAATAAAAATATTAATACATATTATATTCCATTCTCCATATTCCATGGAGAAATACCATTCTCTCTCCGGTTGCCGACAAGAATGTAGAGCGTTAGAATAATTTTAATAATTTTAAACTGTTTGCCCTTGTGTTAATGTAGTGTTATGTACAATTTATATCCACTTTCATGTTTATTATATTCTACGCTTGCTGGATAGCCCAAAATTGACGAAATGCCCCTGATGATGCTGTAGATAGCAAAAGTACTTGGGCAAGATTTGATTATTAAACTTGTGCTTGATATTTGCCTTAATTTTTCAAAGTTTATTATACTTTAAAAGCGCAATTATGCATAATTTTTTTAGTTCAAATACATCATAATTCAGTTTACCAACATTATAAAATTTCATTAAAAGCCATTTTACTTAAAGCACTCTTTAAAGTGAGTTATGAAATCAAAATCGTTAACAGCCACTTTAAAGACGACTTTAACATAAAGTCTCTTTTACTAAAGTCCACTTTAGCGAATCATTACGAAATCGGCCGTAACACCTTTTTAAAAACTGACTTCATTTGCGGCAAAATACAAAAATTGTACACAAAACTACCCTCTTCTTTTTAAAACGCATTGTGATTTATGGCGATAGGACATTCTGATCAAAAGATATACACCGCAGATATTTTTACCGCCGAGTTGATACAAATTGTATTTTAAATTAATTTCGCTCAAGTAACTAACATTCAAAATTTCCGGTCGCTTCAATCGTTGTTTCTAAGAGAACGGTTCATTCTACACAAAAAGTGCTAGAGAGCGCCCACCAAACTGGCTTGGCAAGTGGCAAGTAGCACGCGTCTAGCATGTTACTTAAAATTAACAAATGAAAACGAATGACGTCACTGTTATTTTGGTGTGCGCTGAATCATTCGTTTTCATTGGTTATATTTTAAGTAACATGCTAGACGCGCGCTACTTACCTTGCCACTTGCCATGCCAGTTTGGTGGGCGCTCTTCCTAAAGCGTAATTGAAATTAACATTCTCAGCAAAATTCACTTTGTTCGTATGATTTTTAGAGGTTCAGAGGCATTTTCGTCTCTGACGACTGGAGTAACGACTAGGTGCTCAATTTAGATAGATTTAATGTATTCTATGAAAGTAAATGGAGAAATAGGAAAGAAAATAATCAAGACTGAAGCAGTTTTTTCTCCCCTTATTCGCTAACCTGATACAGGTATCTTTTATCATGAGTTGTAATAAGCTGGTCTTGCGGATCTTCCTCAAATTTTCTCGATCTTCCGTTAATCTTGCAGATTCTGAAAATGGAACGCCAGGGGTTGATTCAATGTGTTCGGTTTACCTCTTAGAAAATCTTTTACCATATGCACAATCCTCTGTAAAACATGAAAACATCTCGAATTCATCTAAAATATTCATATGCTAATTTTGTCAATTTCGAGAAAGTATAGGCCGACCACGAAAAAGGTGGTGCGTCAATCTAAACGTTAACGTAGGTGGGTGAAGCATCGAGCAAAAAGACAAAAGAGGGAATCTAATCGTTATGAAAAGGAGACCAAAAAAGTGGCCTCTGATGGCGAACATATCCGGAAATGCAAAGGCGCTAAATTTAAATTTTCCGGCACTTATTAACAATAGCTATAAAATATTTTTCAGGCGAGAAAGTTTTAATTAAATATTAACGATAATAGTCTAAAAAGTGATACAATTGGTTAAAAACTTCAATATAAATAAAATTTCATGTGACAGTTGGGAGAAACAATAACATAACCAAACTAAATTTGATTTTTTAAACAAGGAAAGAGACTGTCTTTCCTTGTTTAAAGTGGCCTCTCAAGATGGCACTTCCTGTCTAACAATATTTTTGTCCCACTACCTTTACTTTCCCTCTTTTGTCTTTTTGCTCGATGGGGTGAAGTCATGGCTTAGACACAGAATAATAAACAATCAGAATGTCCACTCTCAGATGCCCCATTTGAAGTTTTTCAGCACGCGCGCCATGTTTTAGAAGGAAACACATAACACAGACATATGATTTGTGAGGTTATGTAATTGTTTATATTTATGTTTAATTATATTATATTTATGTTATTATATTTAACAATGTTAATATAATTGTATAATATGTCTATGATTGCCGTAAGTCAATTAAACCGGGTTAATTTTTCTATGCACACCACGTAAACCACACTGATTCCCTCTAAAACATGGCGGAACGTCTGCGCGTACTTAATTTTCCATGGAGAGTGGGCACTCTGATTGTTTATTATTCTGTGGCTTAGACCTATGGCTCAGGCTATCATATACAAAACCTAACTTATTGTTTACCAACCAATCGGTATTTAAGTGTAAAATCCACAATCTACTTTAATTACAATTTGGTTCCACGAGTCGTTATTTTTATTTGTAGCCCATCTCTTTATCTACGATATTACTACCGATAACCCCGCCATCTATTACAATATTACGAAACTAACCACAACCACAACTGTAAATTGATTTCACTGCCTGTAAAAGAACAAAATGAGGTTATGTTTTGGTGTTAATAACTTATTATTAGTATCTTTCAAAAGAAAATGATTAGACGTTTATTTAGTGTCATAGAAACAACAATACATTCTGAACCAGCCTCGTATTCGAAATGTTTCTTCAAAACGGAAAATGTCTCATTTGGTTGGCTCCCTACAGCTGCACCATGTTTTCCTATAAACGCAAAAAACATCAAAATACTAACAGAACCAAAGGAATTTTATGATACGATTTTAAGCAATTGCTGTAATGCTAAAGAACGAATAACTTTAGCTAGTCTTTACTTTGGAAATGGAACTTTGGAAAAGAAATTACTGGAATCCATTAGAAGTAATGCAAACTTCAAAAATAAAAGCTTAGATGTTAATATATTATTGGATTACAGTAGAGGAAGTAGAGGTATAGCAAATTCTAGAACAATTTTACTTCCTTTACTGCAAGAAAACAGTAAAAGTGTAAGAGTGTCTTTATACCACACACCAGAACTTCGAGGAGTATTAAAACAGTATATACCTGATAGATATAATGAATTGTTAGGGCTACAACATATCAAACTCTACATATTCGACAATACGCTTATTATTAGTGGAGCAAACTTATCTAATGATTACTTCACTAATCGCCAAGATAGATATTTTGTTATTAAAGATAAAAACCTTAGCGACTTTTACTGTAGTTTGGTAAACAAAATTCAAGATTTTAGCTTGAGTATAGACCAACATGACAAGGTTGGTTTATCAAAAAACTGGGAAATGCTGCCTTATGAGAGTAGTAAAGCTCAATTTGTGGAAAAGGCTTCATGTATGATTAAAAATTTGATTCAGGATTATATGGATCAACAACAGTATTGTGCACAAGAACAAAATGGTAAGTATTTATTAATTAAAGATTAATTTAAACTGCACTGTGCGGAAAATACTTCAGGTAAAATAAAAAAAAATTTCAGGATCAGTCCACCTAAATGTAAATACTGTTCTAGTTCTTTTAGCAATAAATAATAATAAAACCTTTCTTTTTTCTGTTATACAGTACAGATAAGCCACTAATAAAAAACTTGATTTACTGTATGGCTCAAAGTTTTGAAAACACCTTCACCTTCTTCACCCAATCCATCTATAGGTTATTCCACTAATATATGACTGTTTTGGATTATTGCGACAACTAATATTTTACTGTGCAAGTAGAAGTATGAAAGTAAATTGGTCTAATCATTATTCCAATAAAAGAATCTACTGTTAGTATGACATCTAAACTAGAATTATTTCAGTTAATAAATGTTTCGATATATGCAAAATTTATTGTGAAATTTAATCCGAAAATAACAAAAATTTGTATGCAAATGCTCCTCCAGATAAATACAATGACATCTATGAAGCCAAATGTGGTTATCAGACTTTTGGGTTGGATTTCAGTGAAATGTAAACGCTAAAGTACTGTATGTAGTACCTAGTATGAAATGTACTCTTAAAAGTTGCGAAAGTAACGGGTATAATATATCGGCTGTTGATAGTTAAGTACCAAGTCGTTACAGATATTAAAAAGTAACGAAAATTTACATACAGTTTCCAATATCGCCAACTGATTTTAGTTTTAAAAACCGTTTTTTGTTTTTTTTAATACTAATTGAATATTTGACTAAATAAATTACACTATTTAATCACTTAAGTATTGTTACACTTCGTTTAATTCACTTAATTCCAAAACCAACTTATTTACAATACGAAACTCAATGATAGTAATTATGTACTTCAAAATCTGAATTACAACTGTTCTATAAACTATCAACTCTTTATTTATATCATGACTTCATATTTAAATCTAAGGTTTAAATCTGTCATAACAGTATTATAAAAATTGGGGAGAATTTACAATTAGGTACAATTCAGCATATTGGACCATTTAAATCGACACCATAAAACCGAATTTAAAAGTCATATATTTGTGGAATGGAGTATATATGTTTTGCATCCACTCAAGTTATCAACAAGAGAATATGAAAAAAAAATATGCAAATCTGCTTCATCTTCTCTCCTACACCTATTAAATAACATTGAAGAGGATGAAAATATTACATTTTAACTATAATAAATATTTTATAGTAACAAAAGTATACTTTTTGAAGAACAATTTTGAATTTGAAAACATTTTATGTTATTATTAATATTTTTATTAAATGATTTGAAAGAACTATAATAACTGAATATTTTTTTGAAAGATAAATGATGTGAAAAAAATTTATCAAATATAATTTTCTGGTAACATTAAATTCTTTAATAAATTATTTAATTTCATAAAAATGCAATTATTCGTTTTTTTCAATTAGAGCAGTGATAAGTGTTAATTTGTGTTTTATACTAATAATGTTCTGGGGTAATTAATGTTAACTTGTGTATGTTTTTATTTATAGACACATGGATATTCCCTTTAGTACAGATGGGACAACTCAATGTAAATCATGACGCTCTAATTACCAATAGAATATTAGCAGATTCTCCTCCAGGAAGCACATTACGCATCGCCACTGGTTATTTTAATCTTACCAAAGAGTATATGAACACTTTAATAGATAATTGTCAAGCCAATTGCGAGATCCTAATGGCACACCCGAAGGTAGGTAAACTTTGCTATAGTATTTACAGGATTGTCTGCCAATGCTCCCTGTACACAACGACGATAGTATGTAGTGGGTCAGTATCAGCTATTGTGTATTAGAGCCTTAAAAAAGTAGAGCAAAATTTATTTTTAGGCAAATGGATTTTTAGGAGCGAAAGGTCTAGCAGGAGGTATTCCCTACGCCTATTCGCAAATAGCTAGGAAATTTAGGCAATCATATGAAGAAAGGAAACAGCAGCAGAGATTTAAGTTATACGAATACCTAAGGGAAGATTGGACCTATCATGCCAAAGGTTTATGGTAAGATATCATTTAAAAATTAAAAAATATTTACTTTTTGTTGTGATTAAATTATATATATATATATATATATATATATATATATATATATATATATACAGGTGGTTCTTATGCAAAATAAAGATGACTGTTGATAATGTTTATATATATATATATATATATATATATATATATATATATATATATATATATATATATATATATATATATATATATATAATATATTATCAACAGTCATCTTTATTTTGCAATTTGTTTTGTGCTGTTATAGTTTAAATTTATATCTCAATTCACTATAATGACTCATTAGGGCTGACAACCCGTTGGAATGAACTCTCTGAATACCTTATTGCCATTAACTTTGAAAGAAAAGATTTTGGCTAGATAATCAACACATCCGATATACCTTATCTGTAACTAGTAGGAGAAGACAGCATAAAATGACAATAAAGGATTTAATAGGTCCAATTAATTGTTAATCCAAATGACTAAGTTTAAAAATTCCATAGAGTACCTGAAAACCACCAAATTGACTCCACTACTCCAAATCGAAAGGATTGCATCGCATTTGCCTTTTAGTTAAATACATTTGCAAAGTACAGTTAATTTTTCAAAACCTATTGCAGCTGAGATCCTTGTTGAAACTCGAAAACGTACCTCTGTTGAGTAGAGTAAATTTTTATTTGCATAAATTTTTAAACATAATTGAGTAAATAACGTCACATTATTAATTACACATTAAAAAATATATATTGACATCACACATTTAAAATATATTAACATTACAAATTAAATATGCTGATCAAGGAGAACGATAGGCCAGGCACTCCACTACAGTATAGAGCTCAATGTCAACTAGGTGTTGCAAAACCTTTCTTTTAAAAGCTCTATTTTTTTTTTTTTTGCATTTTTTTTGCATTAATTTTTATTTGCATAAATTTTTAAACATAATTGAGTAAATAACGTCACATTATTAATTACACATTAAAAAATATATATTGACATCACACATTTAAAATATATTAACATTACAAATAAATATGCTGATCAAGGAGAACGGTAGGCCAGGCACTCCACTACAGTATAGAGCTCAATGTCAACTAGGTGTTGCAAAACCTTTCTTTTAAAAGCTCTATAGTGTGTTTCCTGTTGAATGTCAGATGGTAGACTATTATAAAATTTAACAAAGGCAAAAAGGACTTCTCCCTGTTATAGACAATCTGTGAAGTGGCAAATTCAAATTAACGCTTCTTGTATTATATTCATGATTGGGAAGCAGATGATAAAACAAAGAAAATTTTTTAAAAAGGAACATAATACATTCAGATATATAGATGGCTAAGAAAGCGATTTGAATTGGTCTCTACAGGATTCTCCTGCCTTTAGCCCTAAGATCACCCGAACTGCCTTTTTTGGGACTATAAATACAGTTGAGCTATCTACTGCAGCACCCCAGAAGATTACTCCATATCGCATAACAGAATAAAAGTTTGCATAATATACTGATAGTAAAATCCCCTGGTCTAGATAGCTCTTTAACACTCTTAATAAGTAGCAGGCTCTATTCAGTTTTTTTGTTGTATTTTGTATTTGTTCCCCCAATTCAGATTCTGGTCAATATGAATACCAAGAAATTTAACTGATCTAGCAGGTTCCATGTTTTGTAATAGAAAATTAATTGTATCTGGAAACTGTTCTTGTGACTGGCTGGTTCTAAAGTAGAACTGTTTTATCAGTATTAAGCAACAATCGATTTCCACTAAACCACTGTTCAGCCTTGCTTACAATTTGCTCTGCCATTGTGAGGAGTGTTTCTAAAGTTTTTTCCCAGAAAAGCACATTTGAGTCATCAGCGACATTTACAAGATTTGAGGAACTACTAATTTGGAAATACTATTTGGAAGGTGGTTTATGTAGACCAAAAAGAGAAAAGGTCCCAGGACACTTAACTGTGGTATACCTAATTTTAAATTGATTGGTTCAGAGTAAACCTTATATCCCCTTTTCTCCAGGCATACCTTTTGCGACCTATCTGTGAGAAATGATTTTATCCGTTTTTAAAATGCCGGTCCCTGTATTCCATAAAGATGTAATTTTTGTAATAAAAGAACATGATCTAGGCTATCGAAAGCCTTAGAAAGGTCCAAAAAAGCACCTAGCGTCTCAACAGATCTCCCTGCAAGAAAACCATGCTGTAAACTACTAAGTAAATAAGTTATTTGTAGTAAACAAGTTTTGTAGTCTGAAATATATTGCTTTTTCGAATATTTTTGAGAATGATGGAAGAAGGTTTATTGGTCTATAGCAGTGGTTCCCAACCTTTTTCCCATTGTCGCCCCCTTAGACAGGTTTCACCAGTTATTAATACTACAATCGCCCCCCCCCCACTCCCAATTAAATTGAAACAAATAATGAATCTATACAAAAGGTAAGTATCTATATTTATTTATTTTTACATTTTGTAAAATGATAAATGGTTATATATGTATGTAAAAGAGTTGTTAATGGCTTCCTTGGGCCTGGTGTCCCCCACATAATTTCTTTATGTCTGGCTCAATGTTGGTTAACAACAACCTCAAATCCCCTCTTTCTATTATGTCGAGCCTATTTCTTTGTCTGTTTTTCAATATAAATACAGAACTAAAACCTTTCTCCACTAGATATGTTGTGGGGAATGCTAATAATAATAATTTGATTGCATTCCACAAGATTGGATATACTTCTTTTATCCGCGGCCAAAATTTTTCATACCCACACTCCCGAAACAAACTTTCAATTTCAACATCATGTTTCAAATCAATCAAGTTTTCTTGAAGAGAAGAACATACCGTTGAAACTTCCACGCTGAAAGGATTGATAAACCAAGTTGGCACTTTCAGACTAGTCAAATCTTGGAATCGAGACTGCAGATCTTCTTTCAGTATTTGAAGGTGAAGGCAGTATGTTTGAAGATCGTCAGAATCACCACAAGAAGATTTCAAGTTGGGGAATTTGGTCAGATCTCTTCTCTGCATATTTTCTTCAAAAATAATTAGTTTGTCAATGAATGCTCCGACTACTCCCTTCGCTTTGGCCATATTTATATTCTTCCCTTGTAGTTGTAGGTTCATTTCATTTAATTTTTGAAAAATATCCGATAAGTAAGCGATGTCATTTCGCTTCTCTTGTAGTTCTGTACTCAGTGTGGGGTCAGTAGTATTAAGAAATTCAATAACAGTATCCATGATACTGAAGAACCGCCGTAAACAATTGCCTTTAGAAAGCCAGCGGACTTCCGTATGTAGTAGCAATGTATTAAATATCTCATCATTTTCTTCGCAGAGTGTACGAAATATTCGATCATTCTTTGGTTTTGCTTTAATTTTATTTACCGCATCTATGACAAGTTGAAGAGAATCGTGCAACCTCCCACTCAAATTCTTGGCAGCCAAATGCTCTCTGTGAATGACGCAGTGAACACACAAAATTCCAGGTATTGCTTGTTTCAGATGTGCAATAAATCCCCGATGGCGTCCTGTCATTGCTGCTGCACCGTCAGTAGCACAGGCGATTATATTTGATAAAGGAATCTCTTTTTCCTCAAAAAATCTCTTAACGACCTCAAATATGGAAGATCCTTTTGTATCAGTAATCAGACTTCTAGCAAACAGCATTTCCTCGGCCATTTCTCCATTGTCGTCAATGAATCGGACATAGGACAGCAGCAAAGCTGTGTTGTCACTCAGGGTACTCTCGTCAAGTTGCACAGTAAACTCTCTGCTTTTCAATTTGTTGCAGAGAACATCTTCGACATTCGCTCCCATTTCATCAATCCTTCTGGAGACAGTATTATTGCTGAGAGGAACTGCATCTGTTACTTGGCTGGCCTGACTGGGTCCCAACATAGTATCAACTATCTCTTTGACAGCTGGGAGGATGAGTTCTTCTCCAATTGTGTGCGGCTTGGCACTTTTTGCTATTAACAATGATACCTTGTAGGAAGCAAGTAAACCATTGTCGTTTTTCTTGGTTGCTTTTGCTATCAATGACCCAACAGTAACTCGCCTTTCATACTTTGCCTTGAGCTCCTGTAAACAAAAGAAAAACACATTCACTTTAATTATTATAAGTAATGGTAATAAAGTTTTAAAAAGGTTTTCTTATTACTTGTGTTATCACAGTCGTGATGTCACAACGAAATAATCCAACCTTAAGGTGAAATACAGTGCTTATAATTAAAATCTTTCTTGGAAGAAAAAATAAACCTTCTTGGAATCTGAGGATCGTAATTATTTTGTTCAGAAATACTAAATCGATTACTACGCACAAACACACCGGCCTCAGTGGTGTAGTGTGGAAGGGGGATTTCGGATCTGGAAGTAAGTGGTTCGAATCCTACTATAGGCGTATCAGATTATTAAATTTATCAGAAAGACGATAATTTGTGATTCTCAAAACACAATTAAAATCGTTTTTTTTTTTAATTGTACAAAAACGAACTAAAAACAAAATTTTCTATACGTACTTTTGGTAATAGAAAGTAAAAATAAGTAGTTGCATCCAATGTTTCCTGTGCCAATACCCTACGTTTAAAGAATATTCAAACATTTTGGACATTAACTCAATCCTCTCTCTGGTTATTAAATTTATTAGATACGGGTTTTTGCTGTTAACTATAAAAATAATATCTATCTAAAAACTTGATATATTTTTGAACATTGTTTTTTATTTAGATTTAGTGAAACTTCGTTATCTGTGATGGCAACAACGAAGTGATTTACTAACCATTGTGTCCAGTGAACACAGTTTTACATTGGGAAAAAAAAGTGTACCAGTTTTTTATGACGCAAAGTGTACATGGGAAAATTACATCCTACAAATAAAAGACTTTTTACTCACCGCAAAATATTGGACGGGTCTGTCTGCCTTCTCTGGATGAATCCTCTTCAAGTGATCCATAAGCCGAGACGGCTTCATAGCTTCGTTTGACAACGATTTTGCACAAATGAGACACAATGGTA